GGGGGCTGGTGCTCCTGCTCTTCTTAGTTTGCGGAGAAAGAAGAAGAGACGCTGCTGTGATTTCTTGGCCAGTGCTGTGGTGTTGTACTTTGGTGAGCACCTCGTGTTAAGGATGAATCAAACAGGATCTGCATACAATTGAGACCCACAGTTTAAGCACATATGTACATATTTATCTTCTGTGACCTTTATGGTAATTTTCATTGCAGTAGCGTTCTTCAGTTGTAACGTTTTCGTAATCTGGTTCATCTCCGCCTGGATCATCAAAGTGGTTCAAGGCGCTTTGCTGTTTGAAGGTCACCACAAATTCTTGATTTCCATAAATCTAAAGAATCAACAAAGATAGTTAGAGGCTAGGGAACCACATATGCTGCAGAGACCCTGGTTGCAGTATATGAGTATACATAGGCTCATATAATATATGTAGTGACAACTTTTATTACAAGAAATATAATAAAAATGTTTTAAATGCAGATGTTTTACATATGACAGATACTGACCGAACCACAGAAGCTGATTGAACCTCCTAGGACCTGGCGTCCACATATGTGGACATCACATTTTGGGTTATTTAGACCAAAATACTCAATTTTGCTCAACATGGGCCTGATTTCTACTTACGAGGACATTATACTGCTACTGTTCTATCAAAATTTTAAACAAATATCCTCATATGTGGCTCTTATTTTTCTTTTTAAAAAAAAAGGTTAAAAAAATGTGGTAATTCTTTGTTTTTACATTAATTGGGCCTCAACATGCCCAAATATCAAGGAGAAATTAAAAATGCATGTCGTGGAAGAGTTTGGGTCTTAAGAGGTTAAAGTAGCTACAAGTTCTAAAACTGGATGACTCCCACACATCATAGCACGACTATAAAATCCATTAATTTGCAGTTAATGTCACATTATGCTAAAGAAGCATAAAACCGGCTGAGTGAGCTCTTCTCTTAAATTTTTCACTTTTCTGTTCTAAACATCACAGTAGTCGACACCACTCTATAACATTTCTTTTCATCACTAAATCATTTTTAGTTTTAAAAGCTCCTTCTGTCCACAAGCGTCCCTGAGATAACAAGTTTAAATCCAAACCAAAGCAGACTGATAACCAGTTAGCTGGTCAATGTCTCAGTTTAATCAATAATCGTGTGTGTGTGTGTGTGTGTGTGTGTTTGTGTGTGTGTGTGTGTGTGTGTGTGTG